CTCTCTCTCTCTCTCTCTCTCTCTCTCTCTCTCTCTCTCTCTCTCTCGCTTGGTATTGATGCATTTCATTGCATGAGTTACCGAGTCATGTAGCATTGATTGTGTCCATACTTGATTATTCACATAAACTTCAATTTAATAATATCGTTTAAAGTGCACAAGCAATAAAAACACTCACTGATTGACACGTGTATTAAACAAATTCAAATGGAGTTTGCCATAAAATCGTTGCAATTCATTTTGGTATTCAGCTTCTAGATTAAAAAAAAAGTTGAATTGTTAAATTCAAATGGTCGTTTTAATCTCGTTTGTAATCTTTACTTTTTTATTTGAATAGATGACGACTCATTTGCGTCGGAACGTGATTCAAAACCAACCGATGACAGTGTAACAACTTTTGTGTTCAACGCACACCATTCATTGGCCATCGAAGCGCAACGTGATCGTCTTCCGATTCGCAAGTATCGAGATCAAATTCTATACTGTTTGGAACAGTATCAAACATTGGTGTTGGTTGGAGAAACTGGCAGCGGTAAATCGACTCAAGTACCCCAGGTTTGTTCATTTTTTAATTGATTTTTGATATCACATCATTTAATCGAGCTTTGTATAATAATCGATTATTGTTTGCCCATTTGGTTCGGTTCGGATCATTTAACAAATTGGAAAATAGGCCGTAGTTTTATAAAATCGTGCTTAATGAACTAAATTATAACATCAATGTTATGACATAGATTACAACTTATAAATGACTCAACAACATTTCCAGAACCGACTTGATTAGTTTTGATTTGGGTTTTGGTTTTGAATACATCACAATTATCTACATAAAAATAGGTACTTCCATTGTACGACGATTACATGCCATTAAGTAGTCACTCAAATTCATATTTACGTCAGCACATAAATCTTGGATAGTATTAGGCATAATTCCTGTGTAATTTCTACTGGATTGGGTTGAATGCGAGATTGCTTATCGCGGAAAAATAAAATTAGAATGAAGAGCATGCAGGAAACTTAACAATAAGTCATGATAAAAATGTGGAAAACTCATAAAACAAAAGATAACATTTTTTTACAAATCTATGGGGTATGGCATTTTTTGCTTTTCTCAACCGAAAATTTGTAAAAACATATTCATTTCCATACATACACTGTTTGTGGCACTTTTGGTTCGGTTTGAGCATTTTTGTTTTTGCAGTCAAGTACTGATTGCAACATTTAACATTTGACATTTTGATAGAATTAGATTCAATAGAATTTCTTTTACATAAATTTAATAATAAACTGTTGCATTGTCCAATTATTGATACCGATTTTCATCTGTTCTTTTCAGATCAACAACTGGCAATTGATCGTATAGAAACGAAATCGCGATACAACTACAATTATATCGTTATAACTCACGCACATTTTTTTTTTTTATCAAACCATTGTCTTCAATTGCAACAAAACGCAGCACATAATTCGATGGAAATAGAATTTTAGTTTCAAAACGATCATCAAACGAAATAAGTGACGTGCATTTCAAATTATTAAATTTATGTAAAAAGAAAACAAAAAGACAAACGATAATCGAATAAGTAAACACACACAACACAGTAAAAATGATTGGACCGAGTTCGTGTATAAGCAAAATATTGCTGACTGTATTCTTCTTTCTGGTCATTTGGTACATTTACATGGATGTGAATTTATATTTGCGCATTCAAAATTATCCTATTGAACGTAACTATCATTTCAATGAAACTGTCGACATATCATCGAATGATGCAAGTCACCAATCAACCTCAACATTGTCAGCGGCGGCAATTGGTGAACCACAACATATTGACACAGTGCTGAAGCAACCGGTGACATATGATGATGTTGCATGGTTTTCATGTGACATCGATCCACTATGCCATGTAACTGTCAAAGCAATTTTACTTGACCACACAAACCACTATCTATTTGCACCAATGGCCACAGTTTTTGACAATATCATTGGTTTTTCACGTTCAAAATTCATAACAGCGAATATGATATCATTTTTTCATGTGTTTGTTGCCATTTTGGCGGGTCGGTTTATTGCATCGGATAGTTTATGCTATCGTCGCATTGGTGTGGTTTTGTTCCAATTTCGTACATTTTTAGACGACTTAGATGGGCATGTGGCACGTCAAAAGAAAAACATACGCGGTGAACGATCGGAAATCGGAACGGCCGGGTATTACATTGATGGTTTATGCGATGGTCTTGGTTGCATTGCACTTATGATTGGTGTATTTATGTTTTTGCGAAATAATCCACCGCGACGTGGTTATACACAATTGCAAGCAATACTACCGACAACAAATGAAACGGCCAAAACATCATCGGAAACTGGCGTTACGTACAAAATAAAAGTGACCACAAAAAAAGTCGCACGAAAAATTGTTTGCTTTTCCGGTCAATTGCTGCTCAGTTCAACGGGATGGAATCGATATATTGCCTTGTATCAAGATATGCTCGAACGAAACGATGTCGCTCCAACACAATATCGGCGACAAAATATTATTATGAAATCGAAATGGTTCTTTAGCATCGCATGGCTGTGGCGAGTTTTCAATGTACATGCCCTATTGCATTGTTTGTTGTTGAGCATTTTTTGCGATAAACTTTGGGAATTCTTGCGAATGATACAATACATTGGTTTTGTTGTGCTATTGGTCATCATTTGTGCCACCGAAATGCACGTACTCGAAGTGGAATCGTTCATTTTTACAACGCTCACCGGCAACAACACCGCATTGTGATTGAACAATTCACCCATTGATTATTATTAAAACATAGATAGTATTGTTAATGAATGAAAAGAGAGTTAATTCTAGTATTGAAGTCTGCTTTGTCGTTGCTGTTTATATTAATTAACTTTTATTTGCTACATTCCAAGCTTTTTGTCGCAAGTGTATTTTGAGAGAAAAAATGTCTAACTACGTCTATAGCTGTAATTATTGTTTACATTCATAAGTATTTTTTCTTTTTTTTTTCTGTTTTAGTAATAGATCTGATTAACTTTGATATAAAAAAAAACGATTCAGTGACTAACACGAATGAATTAGTTGTACAAAAATTGAAAGAGAGAAAAGAAATTTATACAAAACAAAGCATATTGCAATGCATACTCAATTCAGATCTATATCCGTACAAAAAAAAAAACACACAAAAAAAACCATAGCAAATAACACTACATCTATTACTTCAAATTGCTACTGATATTTCGGTCCCGATTTATAAATGTATATAAAATAATTGAGTCTCAATGTGATGGCGAAAAAAAATCTAAATATTTTTATAAAATAGGAAAATGCTGAAAAGAAAACAAAATCGATTCAGATTGTTGATTGTGTGTCACACTGATTGAATCTCGATGGAATAAATTCAAATGCCACAACACATGGAAATCAACAAAGATTAAAAAATATATTTTTATGCAAGTATTTAATGAAAACCGACGGACGGATAAAGCATTCGGTCAAATCTGGTAAATTTTATCATATTCGACCGATAATAATTGCAAAACAAAATGAATATATTTTATTAGTTAAATCTCAACATAAAAAAAATATATAAATAAAAAACAAAAACAAAACAAATGTTCTAAATGTATACTAATATAGAAATTTGATAGCTAATCCAACTGCAACGAAAGTGCATTACAAAAATCACTAGACACAATGTTGTGTAAATAAAAAAGTGTTTTATTCAAATCGAATAAAGAGTTTTTATAAGGGCAAAATGAATGTAATTTGGAGTGAACGCACTTTTTTAAGAAACTTTTGTTTCGATAATTCGTTTTTTTAATTGAAAGTGAAAAAGAAATAATGCAAAAAAAAACTATGCTCATATTAAAAACTTTAGTCAAAATGTAACTCAGTCTTATGTTAAAATTGGTTAAAATTGATTATATTCTTATCCATAATTTTCCTCGAAATTTTATTGATATTAGTCTTGCCAAAAGAAAAGTGAACTGACCTTTTTTTCGTTTAATTTTTTTTAATTATTTTTTTTTTTTTAATTTAAATGTGAGTCAAATCCTTATGAAATCCTTTTTTTATATTATTTCAAATTGGATGTTTTTTTCGTGAATTAATTAAATTTAAATAAGAAAGCTTCGTACTAACGATATGAAGAGGCATATTTCGATGGATTGAACTTGAAATTTTTACAATTTTAATGTAAAAACTTGGATTTTTACAACTTCTTCTCATTGCTCATACAATAAATTTTCAAATCCCAAAATAAAGAAAATACAAAATACCACTCACTTTATATATACTATGTTAAAATCTCACTCGAGAAGAAACAAAATTTGATAACATTTTGGAACCGTAATTTAATTCTGATTCAGAAAATTGTTCGAAAACATTCACATTCAATTGAAGAAAAAATAAATCAACCACAAAGACTTTTACAACCTTTTAAAATTCACACTTTTTCGAATTCGGTAGATTTTTAACTTTTGACAACAAAGAAAATCGATTGATTGTAATTAATTCAGTTTTATTATGATTGAAAATGTTTCAGTCAAATTTTAATAGATGATTAATAATCCCCACCAAAGATGTTAGATGTCCTTTCTAATAAATATAACATAAAAAGCACGAACACTTTCTGGATCCACCTGAATTTCCCATAAAAATTAATTCACAACAACAACAAAAATACAATAGAAAAATGTAACGCAATATAATGGTGCAGATAAATAAGTTCTAAATTGGAATAAAGACCAAAAATAAAAAAAAATAAAAAATAAAATCAAAACTATGTGGTTGTTGTTCATTGTAAAAATCAATATAAAAAGCGTCTGATAAAATAAATGAAATAAAATGTGATTTTGTTGTTTATTTCATTTGAAATACAGTATCTGTACGAGTTGGGATGGCACACGAAAGGAATTATCGGGATAACACAACCCAGGCGTGTGTCCGCGATGACAGTGGCCGATCGCGTTGCAAACGAACGTGGCGAGGTGCTTGGTGACACTGTCGGTGTAAGTGTGAGTTTCATCGACAAATACAGCGAGAGTACGCAGATTAAGGTAAGAAATAAAAATGTTCACATTCCTTTCGCCTCTGTAAATCTTTGTAATATCTACTTTTATTGGTGTAAAATGTGTTTTTCAGTTTATGACCGAAGGAATTCTGCTACGTGAGATGCTGGCTGATCCATTGCTACAAAAGTACGGTGTAATAATGATTGACGAAGCTCACGAACGTAGTCTTTTAACCGATACGGTGTTGGGCCTTCTGAAGAAAATCATGAGAAAGCGTGAATCGTTGAAAGTCATCATCTCATCGGCTACGATTGATGCGCAATTTTTCAAGAAATTTTTTACTATCGAATCTAAGGAGAATTCCGCTGTCATTTTGTCCGTCGAAGGAAAGATGTATCCCGTTGATTGTTTCTTTCTGAATGAACCGTGTGCCGATTACGTTAAAGAAACTGTAGCAACCGTGTTGAAAATACACGAAAAAGAAGCAAATAAAGTGGGAGACATTTTGGCATTTTTGACTGGGCAAGAGGAAGTTTTGGACGTTGTACAATTGCTGAATGAACATACACAGCAATGGACCAATAACAATCTACAAGTGTTGCCCATGTATGGAACATTGCCAAATGCAGATCAATTGAAAGTGTTCTTTTCGGCGCCAAAGGGAACACGCAAAGCAATCATTGCCACAAATATAGCGGGTATGTTCAAAAATAGACTTAAATGACAGCATCGGCATTCATTTATGCATTTTATGTCCTTCTTTGTGCAGAGACATCTGTAACCATACCAGGGGTCTCGTATGTAATTGATTGTGGATTTGTAAAGATGAAATGGTTTGATTCAAACAGCAACACCGATACACTGGCTGTTATTCCGATTTCAAAAGCACAAGCCGAACAACGCGGTAAGAATTTATACGATTTTTTAACAAATGTTGTTCAATAAAAAAAAATTGAAACATTTTATTTCATACAATTTACAGCTGGACGTTCAGGTCGAATGAATACGGGAAAAGTGTTTCGTTTGTACACCGAAGAAGAATATTCAAAACTTCCCGCACAACTACCACCTGAAATGAAACGATCCGATTTGTCCACAACGATTCTATATCTTAAAGCACTTGGCATTGACAATGTTTTGCGTTTTGATTTTCCAACGAAGCCTCCGGCCAAAAATTTACTGGCCGCACTGGAACTGCTCTTGGCGTTAGGTAAGTTCGAAGATATATTTAAATAAACATCGATTTTCATGCAAAATTCATATCTTTGATTTTATTCAAAAACAGAGGCTCTGGATAATAAAGGAACGCTGACCCAACCCGTCGGTTATTTCTTGGCCGAGCTTCCAATCAGTCCGATGATGGGAAAAATGCTATACAATTCCATTCAAATGGCGTGCTCCGAAGAGATTTTAAGTATAATTGCAATGCTTCAAGTGCACACGGTATTTTCTAAGCCATCAACAGGTCAAGGTCAAATAACAGCGCGGGTTAAAAAGAGAGAGTTTGAAGTGGCCGAGGGTGATCTCATCACATTGCTTAATGTTTACACAGGCTTTGTGGCCGCGGGCCGAACAAAAGAATGGTGCGGTCAACATTATGTCATTTACAAGAACTTGAAAAGAGCCTATGAGCTGCGCGAACAATTGGCTAAATTGTGTCGAAATAAAATTGGCATGCCACTGATCTCTTGCCATGGAAATGTGGATGTCATTCGGCGATGCATTACAAGCGGATTCTTTCCAAATGCAGGTTTGTTATATTTTCTTTCATAAAATCGAATTGAAAAAAATGAATGGAACTAATGCAATTTTCGATTATTTTTTTTATAGCGTATCTTCACCATTCCGGCGTTTATCGTACATGCAGAGGAAATCGTGAAATGGAAATTCATCCGCTATCGTGTCTGTACACCATTCGACAACCACAGTACATTGTTTTTTGTGAGCTGCTCCACACGACAAAGCCATTCATGAAGGAAGTGACTGTGATTGAAGGGGACTGGCTGACTGAATTGGCACCACACTACTATGTTAAACGTGGTGTTCGATATGAAGATCGTTAGAATCCTTAAAAAAACCTCTAAAGCAAAATCATGTAGTGTATTGAATAAATAGAGAGAAATACTTTGCAATTCAATAACATTTTTTTTATAACTGTTTAAATACCATCGTCTTTTTTGATGATTTCTCACGTGGTACCACATTTCCATTTTTGATTAACTCTCTTAACCAGAGAGTAGAAAACACTATCGCTATAGTAATA